TGCGGAGATAATAACATGCACAAAAACAAGACAGAGCAAAACCAAGCAACAATATACAACAAAGCAATGACAACAAACAAATGATAAAAAACAACACAACAAGAAAGAAAAGCTTGTCGTTAGTTCAAGGATTGTTTGTTGAAAGTAACATTGTAAATGAAGTAATAAAACTATCGATAACACTTGGTGTCTTTGCTAGCTAGTGTTGCTGGAGCAGAACTACCACAGGGAGATGGATTTAACAAACAGCCTTTTTTTTTTTTTTTCCATAACAAACTGGGAAGCTGGAAATATGCCCATAGAGGTCCGGCTTTATAGGGAAAGGCTTTCTCTCAGCACTGGAGGACTGCCCTTGATCTGAATTTCTCTTCAGGAAACCATGTGGTTGGGTGTCTCTTTTCCTTCATCTGCTGGCTTTTCTTTCCCTAGTCAGCTTGGTTTATATCTTATTTCTCAAAAGCTATCGACTGAAGACCTACTAACCCTGCCTTATTTGCATAACACAGAACTTTACCAAATGGAGTAAGATTTACAACATATTTTTTGGGGGAAGGGAGGTGATACAATTCAACCCTGGGAAATTAAGGTCATCCCTTAATTAGCCAATTCACCATGTACCCCAAAAAGCACACAACAACAAAGCACAGTTAAAACTGGCTTTTTGGGAGGTAGGGCTACATCTTATCCTTAGAAATATGTACTACATATCATATTGTAGCATGTAATTTGCTGATATCATTTGAATGGAGATGTTCAGTGTTAGGATTTACTGTTCGAAACACTGGCACTTAGCAGGCTCTAATGAAAACTTAAAGTTTTTTGATTTACGTCAGAACTGACTAATGAAGTTGCTAAAAGGGAGCTCTGCTCTGTTCTGAGCCAGGGAAAAGATGTTACTGTTTTAAATAGCAGATAATCATCAGAGTTTATATCCTTAAGCAATAGCAACTTAATACTGCTTAAATTTTTATTTTATTCTAGGTAGAAGAATACATGTTCACTTTTAGTGAACAAGAGCATGTTCCCAAACTCAATTTTGGGTCGCCCTCCTTTTACTCCAACTCATCAACCACACAGTAACTTCTTTGCCCTGTCACCACCTCTATATTCACACCAGCCGCTTATAGATGCACAGTTCAACTTTCAGAATGCAGAGTAAGTGTGATAATTTTGATTCATCATTTGTAGATTTCATTTCTTATTTGACATAAACCCTTTTTGTATGAGACATTTAAAGGTAGAAAAATGTTAATGTCTTTTTTTATAGTGTAATTCATTTTTCTGGAATTTATTTTAAAATGTTATTTCTTGTTTTTGGTAGCTTGTCTAGAGCTGTGTCATTACAGCAGTTGACATATGGAAATGTCAGCCCAATACAGACCTCAGCCTCTCCATTATTCCGAGGAAGGAAGTAAGTAATTCTCGATTAATTATTTTAAAAGAAAAATTTGCATTTTCGAGAACTTTTGTAATACTTTGTGTTGTATTACAATTGCATTGACCTATGCTTTAGTTTTTGCTTTTTTGAGACCTGTGCAGCCTTACTAGGCATACATTTAAACATTTGTCATATAATTTTCCAATTTTGAGGATCCTTCTGCTGATTTATTCTTGTCATTATGTAAGTTTTTAGGTGGGATGAAGTTTCCTTTTACTTGAGATTTTTAACATTTAGGTTTCTTTATAGTAACATTTACTATATGATTTTCATCTTATCTGAAATAGTTAACATCCCATTATAACAAATAGTACAGTGAAAAATATCCATTCATGAACTCTTCTATAGTTGTCAGGAGCCAACAGATTTTAGCCTATTGGACTAGAAGAAATTCAAGTATTGTAAAATATAAGATATGGCAATA